TGCACTATTTTTAAAAGATCACGTCTTCGCTTTACTTTTAATGCACTAATGTCTTTGCAGGATGCATCAAAGGGAGCCTACAAGCCCTACAGTATTTTAGTCATTGTTTGAGTCATTGTTTCTAACATGCAACTAACAGACCCTCTGCACTGACTCATTCTTAGACCACACATGGTCAACAGGTGACTGAATAGCTAATAAATACACAAATAAAAGGAAAAAAAACCTCTGCTCCTGCTACTGTGTATAGCAGTCAGAGGTTGTAACAACAGCTTCAGACACATAGGCTAATATAATGTATACACCACATCAACAGGAACACAGCTAGGTGTTGAATATTCAAACACATAACCACGGGAAGACATGTGGGAGAGAAGGTGACCAGCGAACACAAATACAGCAATAAACATACAAACAGATATGAGTTGAATTTGACTCACATTATTTGATGTCGAAGTCAACCGTCTTTTCCTTCATGTGGATGAAGTATCCATGTCATATAATGCCGCAGTGCATTTGTTGCCATGTTGATTTCGGTTGTTGACAAATCTCGTGTCTCCATTTTTATCAACAATGGAAAATGCGCGAGCTAAGCTAACGTTAACTCTGCTGGTTGTTTCATTTAGCATTGCACGGATTGTTAACTTGCTGTTTGTTGTGGCGACGTCGGCTCGTCTGTTGCAATTGTTTGTTCTCTAACGTTAGTAGTTTCAATCAAACGATGACAACTTCACCGAAGCGTACCTGGCTACAGCTGTAGAGGCGGGGTTCAACGTCGAATGTTTAATAGCGCCCACTGTGATTTTATTGGTCTCACTGTCGAATTTGGGCGGGGTTAAACGTCGACCGTGATTGGATGCCAGTTAGGAGCGTGGAGAAGAACGTTAATCATGATGCTGGCAATGGCAGTACGAAGAACCACACATAAGCGTCACAATATATTTTTATTATAGTGTGTTGTTATAGTGAAATTACACTTTTAGACTGAGCCTAATATAAGGAATATAGCCTTGTGAGTGCCCCACTACCGCAAAATCATTTTGAGGTAAACAGAAACTTTTAGCTTAACCTGGAAACAGAGAAGCGCTTGTATTCTCCATGACCTACTGTTACTAGATATTGCTGGCATGGAGAACAACACGTAGCCTAAGTGTCACATTACATTTTCGTTACAATCTTTTCACTGAGGTGGCATCAGCTTACTAGTTCAGACTGGATTTCCCACATTATTTGAAATATCCTGAATATAGAGTCCTGTTCAGTCCACCTGTCAATCATTATTTATTAAGTTTTTGTATATTGGTAGTTTATTTTCTATGTTATTTAGACTTTTTTTTCTCTTCATGTCTTGTGCAGGTCCAGAGTCATACAAAATATTAACCATTTGTGTGAAACTTTGTCATGATCACTGTGTGAAGTCTTTAGTAATGGCTAAAATGTGTTTTCTAAGGTCACCATGACCTTGACCTTGTTTGTCCTTGAATCCAAGTGAATGTTTGTATCAAATTTAAAGAAATTCCCTCAAAGCCAAAACCATGTTTTGCGAGGTCATCACGCCTTTCACCTTTGACCCCCAAAATGTAACCAGTTCATCCTTGAGTCCAAGTGAACATTTGTGCCAAATTGTAAGGGATTCCCTTGAGGAGTTCCTGAGATATTACACTCACCAGGCCAAAATCATGTTTTATGATGTCACTGTGACCTTGACCTATGACCATTGACCAAAATCCAATCAGTTCATCCTTGAGTCAAGATAGTTTGTATTAAATTTCATTTTATTTTTTTTATGTACATTAGATTGGATGTACAACACCTACTGTTGATTAAATTCAAAAATTTTCAGGGATAAAAATCTGTAACTTTGCAGTCTTGTTGAATGTTTCTCCTATCTATTGGTATTTATTGCGTTTCTAGACTTGGTGTGCTGCATTTCTCTTAATGTTTGTGTTTTTACTCTTATATGTGCTTTGTCCTAAATTGGCAGCTACACATGAGAGGTTAATTCATTGTACATTTAGTATACCAGATATACATTGCTGTATATGAAGTATCTATGATATTTAATCTCTATAGATTTAAGTCTGAAAATGGACTTTCTTTGACTTGATCCCTCTTTTATGAATATTTTGTTTGTTTAATCTGTACAAAAACCAAAATATACAAATAAGCCCCAGTGTAGAGCTTTGTAAGTTGTAATGTCAAACTAACATTTAACAAAGAATTAGCCTATAAAATATTCCACATTAGTTTTTTAAACTGTAGAATGTGTCGCCTTGGTTTCTAATACCCTCAACTTCCCTGGAAATAACCCTCTGTTCCTCCCTTGCAAAACAACATAACTTTTTGATTTTATTTTGAAAGGACTTTCATTAAGGACAAAATAGTGTGAATAGCAATACGTGAGGCAGGCGCTGGTCTTCAAATAAAATATCACTTAATACATTCTTTGTTTTACATTTTAATGATTTTCAACAATAGAATGCATACTTGTTAAAATTAACTTCTGAATGCTGTACAAAACAAAAATAACCAAAACAAATAATACTGAAAGGAACTCGCAATCATACACAATAGGTCAAGTTCTACCAGACAGTGCATCAGGCTCTCTGGTTCTCTTTACATTTACTAACAAGGCAATTATGAAGTATGTACAAATGCATAGAGATTGTATTCAAGCAATATAATTTTTATCACAAGAAGATGCATAGAGTATCCAGCATATAGCACAGGTCAATGTCACCAAAAGATTATTCATGCTTCCAGACAGAGCAAACGCAAGTCAATAAATATGCTTGAACACCATTTTTAAAAAGTGGGAAGCAAAGTATGACTTCCCTTTAATCAAGTAGAAAAATAGTTTGACTTTCAGTACCAATGTTTAAAATAAACCGTTGGCTTCTGAAGATATGTATCTGATTTTAAATACATGGGGGCAGAGTAAGATGTGACACTGAAACACACGAGTCAGTTGTTCCCCACAGTTATTTGACCATTTGATTAGACAAAAGATCCCTTTGTGTAACTTTGCAGAGACAGAATTCATAAAACACCAAGCCAAGAACAGATGTTGACTGAATTATTTTCTTTTATCCTGTTATCTCAAGAATATGAGTTAATTACCTGATAACCTGTTTTGGGCTGCAACTGTTGATTATTTTCACATTGATATCTGCCAACTACTTTCTTGATTACTCAATTAATCATTTAGTGTATAAAATGTCAATAATTACAAAAATTACACATCACAGTTTCAAAGAGGCCAAGGTGATGTCTTCAGATTGCTTGTTTTATGCGACCAACAGTCAAAAGCAAAGACACACAATTTATAATGATATAAAACAGAAAATGCAGTAAATCCTCACAGTTGAAAAGCTGAAACCAGATAATGTTTGGCATTTTTGTTTTCATAAATATCAATGAAATGAAACGACAGCTGATTATTTTTTGACAAATCGACAGTTTCAACTCTATACAGGATAATAATTATTTTTATTGTTATATTATTTTTATTTTGGGAAAACCAGCCATTTTTTGGATATATCTCAAACATGGACCTTTTGTGTTTCTCAAAACAATTATCCTTTTATCACACCCAAATTACATTTTTATTAGGAGATAACAAGAAACTTAACGTGATCTCAGATAATAGGTCAAATAAAAGTTTTGCAATGATGGCTATTTTCAGCATCCATACATTTGCATGAACAATACAAAATTACGAACTTTAGAAGAGATTGTTAAAGAGAAAACTAATCATCAACTATTCTAAAGCAAAAATACCAAACATTTTCTGGTTCCAGCTTCTCCACTGTGCAGATATGATGTTTGTCTTTGTCATATATGATAGTAAAGTGATTATCATTGGGTATTGGACTCTTTAAAACAAGATATTTGATGTCACTTTGGGCTGTGGGAAATTTCAATTTTTCACAGTTTTCTGACATTTTATTGACAAAATGATTAATCAAGAAAACAATTGACAGATTAATTGATAATGAAAATAATAGTTTAATGCAGCCCAACTTTAGAAAAGAATACAGCATGAGCGAACTGATGCAGTTAAAATTGAACAATGTTTGTGCAAAAATACACACAGAGCCATATGAATTAGATGAAAATAATTCAGACAAAAAATTATCCTACAAGTGCTAAAACTCCTTTTGGTAAAGAATAAGAAAGAACAACAAAGTGTGTGTATGTGGCAGAGGGTAAAAATGGCAAACAATATGAGGAGAAACTTTTTCTACAAAGATGACACACTCTGCCCTGTCCATTAGTGCATTATAACTTGAGCAGCATAAAACCATGCACCAACCCACGGCAGAAACAACAGTCATGAGTGTATATAAGAATCTCTGTGCCACTGTCTTGCATCTCTGTCTCTATCTCTGCCTCGATCCCTATCTCTGTCTCTCTCCCTGTCCTTGTGTCTTTCTCTGTCACAGTCTCTGTCTCTCTCTCTGTCTCTCTCTCTGTCTCTGCCATGGTGGTGGTGGTGGTAGTTGTGATGATTGTGTACAGGATAGTGATCCGTGTGGTGCGTCCGTGGTGGAATATGCTGGTGATGCCTGTGCTGCCGATTGCGTTCATTGTGCTCCTGCTCATAGTCTTCTTCGACGTGTGGCTGGCTGTTCCCACGATGATGCTGACGGTGGTGGTGGTGATGATGGTGGTTGCTGTTGTGGTGGTGATGGTTATGGCCTCGGTGGTTATAGCGAACCTCCTCCTCGTCCTCCTCCACCAGATCCTCCACATCCTCCTCCCTCTCCTCGGGCGGATGCCTGCGAGGAAGTCTCTGGCTGTAATCCCTACTCGACTGTACTTCCATGCCACCGGGTGTTTGGCTGTGCTGGGCGTGGCTGTGGTGCTCCATCCGACGGTGGTGGTGATGATGGTGATGGTGGTGGGTGTGCTGGGGTCTCTTTGGTTCAGTCCTCAGGAGCCGCTCTTCCTCCTCTCTTTGGCCCTCCTCAGCCCTCTGTTCCTGAACCTGGGCTGAAGGGGGGTCCTGGTCTAGGTGGTTCTCATGAGAACCCTTCCTCTTCGGAGCCGCTGTCTTCTTGTTCTTCTGCTCATCCTGGGACGAAAAAATGCAACATAATGTCACATGACTAGTCACAACATGTATGTGCTATACATACAGTATGTCTTCAAATTTAGACAACTAAACTTTTGTATTTTCAAGTCCATGGACACAAACTCACACACACACACACACACACACACACACACACACACACACACACACACACACACACACACACACACACAGCTGCTGTTGTGGAGGCAGCTGGCCCCCATGTGCCTGTATTGGCAGTCACACCAGAGGCAATTTGAATATTCTTGGATGATAATATTCAGTTTTATCATGGGACCTTGGAACAGTCAGCGCAGCCTTGTGCAACTGCTCACAGAAAGACAGACACACAAGCTGCCTCAGGCTTCTCTGCAACTACTCTTTATTTTGACTACTTCCACTATATCATCAAAAGTCTTTTTGATTGATTTTTTGATTACATTATACTGAAGTATAAAACCAAAGATGATAAATGTACTTGTACTTGTAAACTGTACAACTTGCAAAGGTAATGGGAATGATGGAAATGTATATAATATATACACAAACACATATACATGTATATTAAAGTTATTTATGTCTGTGGATTTTAATAAGGTGGTGGATGAGGGTGGTGGATAAGGAAGAGGAAGGGACGATAGTTTTAAAATATGACTGTGAGTAAACTCACACATCTGTTAGTCTGTGTCTATGGATGTTTACTGAACATTCATTCAGGCCCTATGATAAATGCTTTTGGGATCAGTTTGACAGTCAGATGTTTGGTCCGACATTTGCCTCTAGTCCTGATCAGTCTGGTCGACACCTACACAAGAATTAAGTTTTAACTCTACACACCGCACAAATGTAACATCTAACAACAAGTCTTTGCAATAATTCTGACAGATTTGTGTCAACATGTGGTATGTGGTAAAGAAGTTTAAAAAAGCAAGGATGAGGGCTGCCTATAATTTTACATTTAAAAGGTGATTTTACTGGATTTCAGCAAGTTGCTGCATCGTTAAATTGAAAATGTCTATATGTAAACTATCATGACACTGTAGCAATGTGCTTTCTGCCTCCTGGATTGTTTATAAACAGAAAATCAATTATTTCAGAAAAACTATACACATCCTTTCTAGTTAATCCTAAAGAAGGCGCTACTGTAACCAACCTCCATCACTGCGGTGGAATGGTAAAAATGCAGCTACAGTAGAATTTGAAGGTGTCTCACTCACCAGAGGTAGACCTATCTCATTTCAGCAACTTTCCAGTGGAGTAGGATGAGGAGAAATGAAATGAAAATGTTAGATGAAAAAATGGAAACAGGTACAGATGCAGCACAGTGTGAGGTTTCTGTTGTTAAACATTACTATTCCTACTGAAATCATACTGTAATTACAATGCATTCAGCAGACTCCCTGTACAGATGAGATGATTGGGATGAGATGAGATGAAATCTTTGAAAATCACATTATATTCTATTACTTTATTGAGTACATAGTTTTTTTCCCCATATACAGCATGTATCTGTGTCTGATGTACCGTTATTCCTGAAGGATTGGTGGGCAGTGTATTCTCGGCCAGGTGGGCCACCAGTGCATTGGTAGGCTCCATTTCTGGTGGATGAGTGGCTCTCCAGTAGGACTCCAGATAATCAGCGATGTGCTCACAGGCATCTGTTAGCTGGTTTTCATCTAAGATGACATCAAACATTTCCTACAGAAAAACAAAAAAAAGGGACAAGAGTAAGTAAAAGACCAACAGTAGGCGATAAGACAGAACTAACCTGTAACTGGGGGTATTTTAAAATATAGTCTTTGACACCACTGGTAGTGTGGCAGTGTGCTTTAAAAATGGCTCTCTTCTGGTAATCAAGTGAGTCTGTGATTCTGTCTTGTAATGAGATTCAGATAAGGAGATGTCAGGAAATACAGTGAGAAATATGCTGAATTTGACTGTGTATTCACTTCATTAGCAGTAAAATAATATATTTTCTGTAATTTTTGTTTCCCAACATGAAAATCTAAATGCCCTCCAACACTTAAGTTTTTATTTTTGTTGGCTTAACAGTAGTAGAATTCAAGTCGACTGTTTCCAAAAATACTGAAATCAGCTTAAACAAAATACCAGTCATGTGCAAACTTTCCCCAAGCTGCAGAATCCCCCAAATTCCCTGAAAAATATGACCTTATAGTCATTGTTATAGTTGTCAATGTCAGCTACAGTTCTGCATATAAATCGAGGACCCACCACCATATTTCCAGTTTATCCCCAACTCACTACTGTTTTTCAATTTATAGTCAGTTACTACCAGTTTCACAACTTTAACTACTGAAACAAAGCCAAATGTATACTTCTGGACAACAACTGACATATCTAACATAATATGACACAATATCAGTACATGCATTCATTCAACATTCATGAACTACTACTGCATCAGTTTCGCACAGTGGCCACTAGATGGCACTCACCGGCGGACATTGGGCGAGCTTGTCTGCTGCCACCAGCTGCACATTAAGGTGTTTGGTCTGAGACTTCCCTCTTGTCTTGATCAGTCTGGTCAACACCTAAACATCATGAGAGAAGAGAGGGAGGAGATTTGAAGAAGCAGAGAAAGAAAGATGGTTACGGTAGGTGAGTTACTGCCAGTGAAGCTCACAGTTTAGAAAACATACTTTATCTAACTCTGAGGCACTCACTGCTGAAGCTTACCTTTGGTGAGGAGATCTTGACATAGACCAGGATTGGAGCCAGGGAGGTCTTGGACACCTGGAGAGGGTGGTTGACTGTGTCTGCATCTAGGACTACAAGCTGCAGGCTGCGGGCGAGCTCAAAGATACGCTCCACCTCCCCCTGGATCTGGGCTGCAAAAGCAGACAGTAAAAGCATGATGTTAACACCTAAGGTCCAGGAAAGCCATCAGTTGTGCATTGTTCATTTCCTTGTTCACATCTGAAACAAGACGCCATACTGTATCTCAGGTAATTTATGACGATGTATTTAGATTATTGACCTGTAGCCTTTAATAGTAATTTTATATATTGATAATTTACTGATCATTCATTTGGAACACCCACATTGTGCCATTGCATGTAATTTTGAGTTATATCATAAATATTGTACGTAATGTATACTTTTTAAATGTTTTCTGCATTATTATGAGAGTAGCTGAAATGATGGTGTTTTTCCTCTTTTTTTCAAATCAAGATGCGGAAAGAGCCTCAAATCTAAAATCTTGTATTTTGAAAGTTGGAAATAAATGATCAAGTTTGAGGGTTCATTCTTGACCTCGGAAACAGTAGCTGACAAAATAATCTCACCGCAAGGCCCATTTATTTGCCTCTCTGGAACTTTCAGTCATATCACACAAAATTCCTCAACAGAAGTTGGAACATGTGGCGAGATGGTTTTGTCAACAAAGTTACAAGTTGGTTTTGTAACTTAAAGGATATTTGTGATTTTATTTTTGTTTCTACATATGAACTGAACAAAACAAAAATGAAAAAAAGTTAGTCATATTCATGTTTATGATAAATCATTTCTAAAACAAACAAGGAAAAAAGTACACAAACCTGTTAGCATCTCATACAGATAAGACTGCCTACTTAATAAGAGCCCGTGATTGAGTGGTGTATTTGTATGTTCCTGTGTAACTAATCCATCAAGACAACCAGGATGTATTACACTAATGGGAGGAGTAATTCAAAGTCTGGCCACAGGAGGGAGAGCAAGAAAGCAGGGCATGGAGGAGGCTGTGGCTGTGGATTTTTCAGTCCTTTAAGAAATGCTCACACTCACAAATAACAGCAAACCCACTACAACAAGTTATCTTGATCCAAATTCAGTCTTGTTTTCATCAATTGTAAAATCAGCACCTGTGCATATTTACACATGGAACAGTGTCTTAGCAGTGACTGCTGGCGCTGACATGAGGTAATGAAAGGAAGAAAAGAAGGAAGGTGGAGCGTTGAAACACACATGGACTACCGGTGCTTTCAGTCATACATACCGGCAGCATCTGTGATGAGAGAGCAATGAGAAAGACAAGAGTAGAGAAAACCAAGTAAATCTTATCCCCTTTCTGTTCTACATCTATTCTTTCGTCCTCTAACCGGGGGGTGGGGGTGGGGGTGGGGGGGCATTTAGACTAGCCTACTGTTCTGTGTCACTGGGGTAAAGACATTCTATTATCATGTAGAATGAGGGTTCATCTTTTCAGTGAACATATAAGAAAAATCATATAAACATAAAGTGCAAAGTGTTTCAGTAAGATAAAGAAAAAGTGCAGGTCTGACACATTAATTCCACACCTGAGTCAGATAGTATCACTTGCTTGTTTTTTTAACCTAATTAGATTTCGAAGTGGGTAAGGTTTGCCACAGGGGACAATACAATGAATGCCAGAGGGCTAACACAATTACAAGAAGTTATTTTAAAAATCAATTTAGTGTTATTTGCTGCTACTGATACAATCTGAATTGTTCTGGTGCGGTAAACCCAAACCATCTGGCTCCACAAACAGATAAAAGAAGTGCCAGTGGTGATTTGCAACGACCAGTGGAGGCAGGTTAGGATGATAAAGCCGTTTACCTAAATTAGAGCGGGTGTTGGACCGGTCCATTAAGGCCTTTTTGCCAGGGTTGTTGAGGATGGACCGTTTAGCCAGAGAGATGTCTGCTGTGACCCGTGTAATAGTAATTCTGGAGAAGAGACAATACAACAACCATTATTACACAGTCATGATTTTCATTATGTTTTATTTCCACATAAAAAGGTGTGACACAGAAGAATTAAATCAGAACATACCTGCCTTCAAATCGATGTTTTAAAAAGTCAAATAGTGCTTTTTGCATCATATCTGTCACCTGGAATTACACAGAAAACAGGGATTTTAAATAAAACTCTCCTTTATTCAGGTCAATAAATATTTGAAAAACTTCAAGATCTTCTCAGTTTTACAGCATCTCAGAGTTTGTGTGAGGCAGACTCACCTCTAAGCCCTTCAGTGATGGTCCCATTAGAACCACAGGACGCATTGTAGGCACTACATCATACATAGCCACCTGCTCCCCCTATAGCCACAAAAAAAAAGAAAAAAAGAACATTCATTCAGTGTATTAGATACAGTAACAACTACAAGTAACATAATCACTAAGTTTTTATTTGACAGCCTCAGTCAATAATCTCCATACACATTTTTTTGATTCTTTGGCTCAATCATCTTCCTGAACTTGGTGTCCCTGAATATATTATTGTATTAAATGAACAAGAGTAATTTCTAGCAATTTGAAAATTGGAGAGAAGTTAACTAATTAATGTGGTTAATGTCAACTGATGTCTAAAACACAACACACAAAGATGAACTGCTGCCATCACTGGATTAATGGATCTTATCTTCCATACACAACCTCTGATGTTTCATACTGGACTGTTGTCATGTCTGTTGCCCAATCTTTGGTCATTCACACCAGACACAATTGCAGAACTATGGCTCTAACCACATCACTCCTGAGCAGTAGAAATATAACAGTCCTTGTATGAACATTGGACCAGAAACGACTAATTGATTAATCAATAAATTGGTTATTACTATTATTTTTGACCATTGATAATCACATAAGTCAAACAAACATTTGTTGGTTCTAGCTTGTTATATATGATTGTAAACTCAATATCTGCTGCACATTTTCTGCAATTTGAATTCATCATTGTGTGCAGTGGGGAATTATAATGTGCATTTTCACTATTTTATCACAGTTTATTTAGAAAACATATAATTGATTAATAAAAGCAAAATCTAAAGATTTTTCTAATGATGAAAATAATTGTTATTTTGCAGGCCTGATAAGTATAAAGCATAGATGTGGAATTAAGTTCAGTAACTTTGGGAAATGCAATCTTTATGCTTCAGATAAACTCATAATGGTGCAGAAAAAGTGGTTTAACTAAGTCAATATTGATAAGAAATGTATGAGATGCTTCAAATCATCATAAGTTTGAACATCTACCACTCCGTGTTAACTTAATTAGTTCAACATAAAACTTCTTTACTTTGTATCCACACACTGATGTGGAAAACACTTTTTAATGAAGACTTTATATTCGGTCACTTACCGGTTTCTTTTTCACTTGCTGATTGGCTGTTCATAGAAAAGGATAAGAGAGGCACCTAATGTTAACTCACGAATTGTTAAAACTAACATCAAAGAATCTTTTTACACATTTCAGTAAACACTGGCCTTGTGATGGAGGAGTGTATTTCTTTGAGTTCATATCTTGAGCTGCTTGAGAGGCAGCTTTGCTGAAATGAGAGAAAAATACAGAATTAGCTCACGTCTCATCATAAACAGAGCCTTCTTTACACTCTAATTTCCAACGCTTCAGTCATGATGAAAATAGAGCACTTTATGTCTATTTAATAAAAGATTTTGTGTTTTCAGTATATCTGTAAATCTACTTATGAGACACAGCCATATAAAGCTTAGAGAGTAAATCCCTTCAAGTGATTCAGCACATACAGTTGCCACCAAACCCGAATTTCCAAGATCCCCTAGATGTGTTTCTGTCAGCCTAACTGGGTCAAGTCAAAATCTGGCAGCGTGGAGTGGATCTTCTTGCCTGCTGAGCTGATTAGAGTAAAAACAAACCACTGACTGACCAAAGGATTCCTACTTTTAGATTTTCTGTCTCTAACATATTCCACATCTGTGAAAGTTGATTTTACAGCATGCTGAAATTAATAGAAACCGAAGGCCAGGGAAATTTATCAAAATACACCAAAACATGTAAAATCACTGGTATAGTCCCATCCTCTTTCAAATCCTTTATTAAAACTGACATTTTTTGTCAGCTGATGTGCGTTAATTTATTTTAATTGCAAAATTGATAGGGATAATGCAGCATTGACATGATACCAGTTGAAGGACAGAGTCTGTGGTACGCTCTAAAGATTGTAATGCCACGTTCTGATTTGACTTGGACCTCAATGCATGTGTTACCTGGGGCCCTTTCTAAATAAGGGGCCAAATATAATTGTTTAAAAAGATCTTTATCGTTTCAATTATTACAGAATTTAAATTCAGTCAATTCCCAAATAAATGTGCATGTGCATCTAAATTGTATAATAAAAACATGCTGACACTGACAAAACAACCAACCTGGGGCTAGAAAGTATCCCAGGATGGGGAGTAGTGGATGATCTCTGAGGCTCTAGGCAAAGGATGTGTGTAGGACTTTTTGAATCCCTTATCAAATCTAATTAGGTTTTTATTTCAACATTAGCAGGTAACCAAAGTTATAAATAACTCAAGCTAAAAGATTCAGTTTTGATCAGTAGTCACTTTCTGTTGGCTGCGAACAGAAATATTACAGTTTTGATTAGCAGCCTAATTAATGCAAATAAGGAAAAGTTGATGAGTTTAAAACATTGATCGGACAAGAAGCAGCTCAGCATATCTAAATTTACTTTACTTTACTTTACACATCTTAAGTATTTATTTTAATGAATGAATTTATTGTTGCTATTCCTTTTTTATTGTTTTTTTTCTCTTTTATATTTTGCTTCTATTTTTATATTTTGCTTCTATCTACAGATACGTAGGTGTGACCCTTATCACACTGGTTTCACATCTCTAGTCAAAATGTAGTTTGACTAATCTCCGGATGTTTTCAAAGAGCATCAGCTGAATGCTGAAATATAATCCTCTGTATTTGATGTTGTAATGATGTTTTGTTTGTACATGTGCTGTGCCAATAACGATTATTATTATTAGCATGACAGGATAAGGCAGCACACTGCAGTAGGTTTGTGTGCTGGTATAAAACCCTCCTGTTTTGAATCCAGTGGAAAGAGCAGCATGATGTACATACTTGGCTAAGGCCTTGGCAGCTTTCCTCGCCTGGACTTCTCTTCTGATGAGAATGGTTTCCAGATTGACTGGACTGGGGATGAAGCCCACCACACCATCCTCCTTCACCGGCCGCCCGATCCACCATTCATTATTGAATTTCTGGAAATTAAAAAAAAAAAATTCAGAGTGTAAATTTAAGGCTTGATTTCCAGACATGGTTTACATTCCTTACTCTGACAATATTAGTAACTGAATTCAGCACCTGTGTAACTGCATTTTACGTCTTTGTGATCTGCTGTACTGTGTATCCACCTGAATTTTAATACAAATGTTATTTGTGTGTGTTTGTTCGAAACCTCTTTGACATGTAGGAAGTCTCTGGCCTCAAAGGTAACAGCCTGGCCCGGTACGGGGACGTTGTCGTCGTCTGCTGGAGTGTAAGAGAAGTTGCAACGCACAGCAAATGCCACAGGCTTGTACTGGGGACATAGGACAGGTGTTCAGACCAAAATGTTATCACTAACGGAATGTCACAGTCATCATAATCCATACAGTTCTCACACACACACCTGCACACACACACACACACACACACACACACACACACACACACACACACACGCCAACACAAGTTATTAATATTTAATTTTTTTCTCTACTAAAATACATCATGACTTATTGTTTTTAAATATATTGTATCTTTTGCAACACACACACACACACACACACACACACACACACACACACACACACACACACACACACACACACACACACACACACAACCACACACACACACACACATACACACACACACACACACACACACACAGGAACACACAGGAACACACAATCAGAGGGAGCAGAGGGAGTTTCGGGATCCTGGTTTTGAACTTGTTGGCTCACAGTCACAGTCAAGACTTACTGGGACACATGAAACGACCAGAGCCATTATTAATGTCTGCTCAAGTTGTTAGCAACACCTGTGCTTTTCCTACTATGACAAGTCAAAATGTGCGCTGGGAGAAAAAAAAGCCAACAGTATCTTCCTGTTTGCTGAACTGTAGCTTCTGCACGCTTCCTCCTGATTGAATGCCTGTTGGTGGTGTAATCCTATCAGAGTCAAATGTCAGTGGCATGCCGATCAAGCTGCTAATTACTCCACTTTGGAAAGATGAGGCTGTGGGAGAGGCTGTGGGGTCAGCAGGGGACGGGCCGAGCGTGTTTGCCGCCTTAATTACAAAGCACCAGTGGGAGCACATTAAATCTGTGGGGGAGGATTTAATTCAATATTCACTGGGACGTGTATCAGCAGGCGCTGCTTAAAAGGCAAAGAGAGGTGAAGAGTTTGATATGAGCTGTGATAGTTTGATGTCTTTGTGTGTAATGGTCTTCGTGGTCATTGTATCTAAGAAAAACACAAGTGGATGCCCCACCCACCCCGCTACAAGAAGCTTTCATTTTTCGTGGGGGCACTATATATTGTTACTATGGTGAAACTTAGAATTTCATTCATCAATCAATAGTTGTATGTCTGGGAAGAAGTGGAAATTACATTTTTATTTTTTTTTTTTTTTTTTTTGACCTGGTGACCTGTTCTATCCTGCTATTTTATTTGACTTATTTTGCAGTCTTTATATTCTACAAACTTAAACACAGCTTCAAATAAAGTTAAAAACTATCTAGTTAAGTATTTAACACAAGTGGCACATCACTGCACACATTAGCAATAATCAATATCCTTCATTATCATCCTTCTCCAGACGTTGAGCACATAAAGGGATGACAAGGATGAAGACTACAATGACTCATTTTAATAGCTGAATATTGCTCCGCTAATCCAATGTCCTGGTGTCTGTGTTTCCTGTCTGTGATGTAATCATGTCCTTGAGAGCAGCCTCTCTGAAAAATGAGTCTATGAGGGCAGCGGTGGCTCGGGTCAGGTCGGGTTGAGCCGGGTTGAGACCATGACGCAACAGTGAGAAAGTACCTTGGCCTTCTCCAGCTGCACCTGGGCGTTTCTTTCCTCAACGACATCTGAATCCTGACGCTCTCCCTGCAGGAGAGAGACAGAGTAAGGACAGTTTAATCAGTTGAACTGGTTATGCATTGCAGTGTATTATTCAGTCTGTTTTTTTATGACTTTTCAAGCTCGAACGCTGAACGTTGGTGCCAGCTTCCAAAATGTAGGGATTTGGGTTCTGGAAATTGTGATGGACAAAGCATAAGCATTAGTTACAGCCCTACATGAGCAACTGTAAAACTAGGGTTCGCCTTGTTAAGACTGGAAATCCTAATTTTTATTTGTTTTTTCAAAGGGTCCTGGCCTAGAAAGGCAGTAAAAATAATTTTCAAAATAAAACAGACATTAGACAACATGTCACAGAATGAGATTTACATAAACAATTATATGATTTAGATTTTTCATAAATAAAATTGCCTAAAATATAATAATATAAAAGATCAAATTGTTGCAACAACCTAAGGTGGTACCTGAAGACAACCTAAGTATAGTCTGAACCAAATAAATATCAAATGAAAATAAAGAAGACAATTCAAAAACTCAAAAATAATGAGACTAATGCATTTATATTCTAATATAGCTCCAGATAACACAGGCCAGACAAGAAAGCAGTTTTCTTATCAATTATTTAAAAGCGTTCTCCAGCAATTTAGTATTGCACTTCATAGCATTAAGTATGGAGACTTCAAAGATGAAGATAAATATAGATAAGGAAAAATGAAAGCATCAGTGAGTGGGCTGCCTTGATTTTAAGTCCATACTATGATTTAACCCCAAACACTGGGACTGTAGACTTTCCAAAATAAAGCTCGTTAGTGTTCCAAGTTAAATCCTCCCTGTCTGATAAACATCCACATCTTTCAAACTCCATGCCCCCAGTTCCTTTAAAAAGTATGCAGCCCATGCCAAGACTCCCCTGTAATGAAAAAAGTAAAGTTGGTGGCGTGCCCCTTTAAAGTCACAGAACAAAAAAGTTATTTGCGATTATACATGAAATTGCTAAAGGTTCCAGGCAGAGAGATGAACACTGATAAAAGCTCTTTTAACTAATATTTTTAGTGACTGCATTTACATGAATATGGGGGTTGTAACTTGATGGATTTAAAAAATGATTTTAACCCAAGACCTGGCTTGATGAATAACGTGGTGCCAGTGCTTTAACACTTCACCAGTAAGCTTATGCACAAATAACATCTCCTTACATGCCTTCTCATTTTCTCTTCCCTTTTCCAGAACCTTCCTGCCTTTAACTGTCAAGAGGTGTTGCAGCGGATCCCTCCTGGGGATCCGCCAGGTTTATGTGCCATGTGTCCCAGAGATTAGATTGTCCCCTCAAAGACATGGTAATTAATGCCCTCTGTGTCATAGCCAGGGGGTGGCACAGCCCCCCCCGCGTCAATCTGGCACTCAAGATACACACTTGCATCCCAAAGTCACAAATCAGTTCTCTCTGTTGTAGACAGTCTGCTCAGTCTGATGCATTTTAACAACACAGTGATACTGAGTCCTTGGTGTGCCAAAGTCAATATTCTCAAATCTAATCTCAAACTCTTTTCTCACATGGTGAAATGTTTTATTCTGTACATACTAATGACATAATAGCTTCAATATTTCAGGTTATATCTCAAATCTTTACTTATATTTCACAGTGTTTGTTCTATCTAATAGTACCTTTGTTACATGACATTAATTTGACTCTAAGTTTATGTACATACACAGATTGGACAATTTCCACAAACAATTTGGGGTTCACTGTCTCACTCTTAAGACAGCAGAAGCCAGGGTTTGAACAACCAACTTGCAATTTGTGGATCTACAACCTATCAATGCTGGGTGAGTCTACCCTCTTTCTTAAAAAAACATATTCATATAAACCTAATTTGTATTACAAAATATGTTTTGTTGGAGACAAAATGCTGCCCAGGTTGCACTTTTTATTCAGCATAGCAAGGAAACAATGATACTGAGAGTCTCTGCTAGTGTCAAGGTATTTCATTTGTTTTCCCTACAGTAGTTGTTCCTGGCAACAAAAGAATGATTATTGTTTTATGGTTATATTTAGGCAATTCACAGCCAAAGAAGGGATGCAATGACTTCTACAATATTTAAGCAAAACTACCACTTTTCCCTAATGGTAGATTTACAGTCATTTGTTTGGGGCCTGGGTGAAATTTAATATCATGATACAGTCCAGATCTCAGTATCTCAATATACAATATTATTGCAGGGGGGGGGGGTTAAAATCTGTTCAAAGTTTTATTTGTCACATGCATGCCACCAAGTACTAGATTAAGCAAAGCAGTGAAATGAGGGTCGGACTCGGCCGCAGGGCAGACTGTGCAAAATTGCAAAATTGCAAAACTTGGCTTTGGTTGTTTGTGTTTCCTCCTACAGCTTTCCAATGTTTTTGGAGATAGTTGAGAGTGACGATAACATGAAGCAAGGTGAGCCATTTCCACTGTAAGTTTGCTCACTGTGATGTGCGCTCTCTGTTGTAGAGAGTTAAAAGAACATACCCACAACTACTGCACAGCAGTCAGACACGCGGAAATAGAAATTATACTGATGTAATTCCACTTCTCCAAGTCTGCACATTACCCACCATCAACCTATTTCACTGGGAAAATGAAAGAATAAACACATTTAAAATATTTAAAGCAAGAAAGAGATTGATCACCATAAATCCATACGGTGTTGCATTATAGTGCTACTAGCACTGAACTGTTTCAGAAGCCTAAACCTAAACAAAGGTGGGACTCAGGACATGAACTCCAACCATCACGACCTTCTACCCCAAACTTCTGTGCAGTATAAGACTGTCACAATTCCTGGATTGGATGCAGACAGCAAAATCACATTTGACAAAGCATTAATGTGTTTTGTAGGAGCCTCTTTATGTTCATTAAAGAGGCTCATGAGGCTGTACTGAGTGAATATGAGTGTCAGTCCAGAGTGTGTTCACTGTTCAAACCTCATGCTCAACCAGCAGATAACAATTTCCCTTTGGCTCTCCTTTACCCCGTCGCCCACTCCTACTCTCGCCGTTATTCCAAATGAGTGCACACTGCGCTGCCTGACACGAGTGAGACACTCTGACTTTGACAATGATGGATTATGCAGCATGTCATTACTATAGGCCAGTAGTTATGATGGAACTATCTTCAACTCCAACAGACTCAGCTGTAATAGCTTGTATAATGAAATTAAGTGAGAAGACTGAAGGAGAGGTGGAGGAAGGGAGGACGAGAGGCAGGGAGGAAGCAGTGGGTGTGAAGGAAGTGAGAGAGAAAAAGAGAATGTACGATGAAAGTGAGGCGAGGAGACATGTTGAATGAAGAAAGAAAGAAAAAAAAAACACAACTAACCGTGTGTTCAGACAGAATGTGAAGCAAACTTTAGAGGCAGTACAACAAAGTCAATGGGAAGACATGTAAAAGGAATTTGCCGGGACGGTGCAAATTGACGCAAAGACACATTTGTGCGAGTTGAAAATGTTTCAGTTTGAATGAAAAATTCTGCTGATTTTCTAGTGAGTTCTGAGTCTGGGCCCAAAGTAAACACACTCACACAGACGTGACTGTTACATCTGTTGTTAGCCGGCTTACAGCTAAACTCTGTTTGGGGCGAATCATGGTGGAGTGTACAAGTGAACTAGTGGTTACAATTTATGCAAATGACATGAGGCAGGAATTTGCTTTTGTTCTGTCTGAACAAACCTTAACAGTCATGCTAGCGGCTCTGTGAGGCGGTACGTTGGCACAGCAGTGTTTACCAGCCGCGGCAGGAGGGTTGGTATAGTTTTCACCTAGTGAGTCTGAGCGTGTGGACACACCTGCTGTAGTGAGAACTACCACAGAGGCTGTTTTGAGCACGTTGGTGGGTAGATGTCTAGATTTTGTCACAGTGATAGCATAACAACCGCACAAGGTACAGTCACAAAACCTTACGGGTGTGTAGCCGAGATCAAAATAAAGGCAGAGTTAAAAGACGAGTGGGGTACGACCCATTACTACTGAGTACCTAAATAATGTAGGAATAACAAAGTACTCATGGGTTTGAACTAATGTCAGCTGGCATGGTAACGCTAACATGCTGGTGTTAAGCAGGTGCTATATTTACCATGCTAACCTTCCTAGTTTACTGTTATGATTGCTAACATTTGCTTCCTAGCACTAAACACAATCTACAGCTGAGATAAATGTTATTAGCTTTGCATGATGGACAATAAATTCAAAATACTTAAGACTTAATTACAAATGGAAAAACCACACTAACTTTGGATACAAATAACATCTCAAATAATGTGAAGGATGAAGACATGATGTAATAACAAGGTGGGACAGTGTTGGTAATTAGTGAATACAGAAAAACAGGAGGATGCAGTGGAGACAGTGTCAAGACAGAGTATTCAAGATAATGAGGAGGGAATCAGAGAAGAAGAGGAAATAAATCTCCCTGGGGCAGAATTATGCCTGGGCATGGGTTTTTGTTTACCCATGACTGGTGTAGACATCTGTTCGCACAGCACCCGCCTCTCCTGCTAGCCAATGTCACCCAGCCAATAGTACAAAACGCCCCCGCTGAATTATTAAACAATGCTGAGCACACTACTGCAGGTGACTTGGAGATGTCTACTCTCTGGGAGAAGGGAAGCAAAAATTAGGGAATTACATGAATTATTGATAGGATTTTTAATGAAAGAAAAGTCACGCCTTTTCTCAGTGTATTGTATGAAAATGGCAACATCATTCACATTTATTAACTTATCTCTTTAGGCTATTTTCCATTATAAATCAGATCAGCAAGGTTATTTTCTCAGACTCTAAAGCTGAAAAGATTAATCAATTTACTGATTTGTCACTTGACATAAAATAAAACAAAAACATAAAAACCTGTAAATACTGTAATTATGTTTGTTTAATTGTTAATTGTTTGAGTCATTTGGCAAACATGTGAAGATTTGATGCTTTTCTTTGGGATATTTGAAAGAAATTTCTTGAGTTTTGGGTTGATGGTTGGAAAACACAGACACT